TTATTTATTTATTTATTTATTTATTTGCTGTTGTTTATATCGAGATAGGGTCTAGCCCAAGCTAGATCTTTCTGCCTCTATTTCTTTGTTTTGTTTTGTTTTGGTATTGAGAATAGAACTCAGGACCTCAAACTTGCTAGACGGATGCTGCACCACTATACCCCTGGCCCTTTCTCTGGTTCTTGAATATTTTGACCATTTTATTCTGTTTTGAATAAATGTATTAAGATATTTTTTTCATATAGTTCAAGATACTTGAAACTTTGATTTTTATTGCCATTCTATATGAAAACTTTACTTTCTAATTTTATTTTTCAAAAATACAGATAATATTTATAAATTAACCTAGGATGTGGTGACCTTGATTAATCAACTGTAGAGTTTGTTGAGTGTGGTTATCTGTATGTATGTTTTTACATACAGATATATATTACTGGATTTTGTATAATCAGATTTTTACTGAATATGGTGGCTCTAGTTGTTCCTTAAAACTTACTTTTCTTGCCTTATGTACAGAATGTGCCCTACTGTGTTAAGTCATGATGTTTAAAGTGAGTCTTTTTTTCAGGGTAACATTTTTTAGTTTGTGTGTGTGTATGCTAATTTTTAAGTTTTAAGTTTAGCACTCTATCAGATTAATGAATTTTTTTGTCAGGAATGTTATTTTAAAATTTATTATATACTTTTCATGAATCTATTGAGGTAATCTTATAGGCAGTTCTTTTCTGCATAATACTATTTTCTGCAAGATATGTATATATATGTGTTTTTCATTTCTTTAATTTTGATTTCCTATATTAATTAAATTGAATGATCATGTATTATGGTCATGTTTCTGATAGAGTATGAATTAGTTTGCTAATATCATGTTAATAAGGGCTTTTAGTACTGTACTAGAAAAAGGCATGGTTTATTGGAGAACTAATTCCCCCCCCCCCCACATAGTGTTGGGATCACAATCAGGGCCAGCATTCTACCACTGAGCTATGTCCTAGCCTTCCCTTTTAAAAATAATGCCTTTCTCTTCTCTTTTAGCACAAGTCCGTCTTATTGCTGCGTGGATTTGTATTCACTTCGTACTGGGGAGATGGTCAAGTCCATTCAGTTTAAAACACCTATTTATGATCTTCACTGCAACAAGCGGTAAGCATTTAGGTAATGCACCTCCTGGGCATTGTAATTTACTAATTGCATGACTTAGATTTATTAAAAAAAAATTAAGGAAAATTGTTTCACATTATATTTGTTGAAAAAGCTGCTGTGTAAGTTTTGATAAATGTGTTCAGACTTCAAGTCTTAACCCACTGGGAAATTATGAATTCATTGTAGTAGATATAACCAGAATTTTAAAAATATAATGAAAAAAGAATTGAAAGTATCTGAGAGAACATAGGAAACTTAATTTTCTTGAAAAACCCTTTATATATGTAATGCATATTTGTGTATTTATTGGTTTATTGTATGAACTGTGATTTTGGTAGGAGGACTCACTAAAACTTCTAAAAAGTATGTTTCTTTTTTTTTTGCTCCGAATGCCTTCAGGGCAGGTTTGGCTGGCTTGAGTTGTGGGGATCGAACCACAGCAACCTGAGCCTGACTGCTTTGTTGAAGCAGCCACTTAAAGAACTGAGCTAAGGGGCAGGCCCCCTAAAA